TCCCTTACGCCCTTTCTGTAGAGCGGAATAACATTGGCTAGCTTCCAGTCAGCAGGGATCTCCCCAGACTCCCAAGACCTTTGGTAGATGATCGAAAGGGGTCCTGCCGTAACATCCACTAGCTCCTTCAGTACTCTGGGATGAGTACATCAGGCCCCATGGACTTGTGAACATTCAGCTGATACAGCTGGTCCCTTGCAATTTCAGTGTCCACAAATGGAAAGTCACTGTTCCCGCACTCGTGATCCTCCAACTCAGATCTTGGGATGCCCGGTCCCCTATCTGTACTATTAAAGACTGAGGCAAAAAAAAAGCATTGAATGCCTCTGCCTTTTCTTCATCCTTATTAGTCAGGTGACCATCTTCAACAAGTATCAGTCCAATGTTTTCTTTAGACCTCCTCTTGCTATTAACATACTTAAAAAAGCCTTTTTTTTTGTCTGACACAACACTGGCCAGTTTCAACTCTAATTGAGTTTTGGCCTTTCATGTCTTCTCCCTGCATATACGAACCACAGCTCTGTGATCTTCCTACAAAGCCTGACCTTGCTTCCAGAGATCATACAATTTCTTTTTCCTCTTGAGCTCCACAAGGATTTCCCTATTCAGCCAAGCTGGTCTTCTGCCCTGCTTGCTTGACTTTTGACACAGTGGAATTGCCTGCTCCTGTGCTTCTAAAAGGTGCTTCTTAAAAACTAACCAGCACTCATGGACTCCTAAGCCCTCAAAAGCAGACTCCCAGGGTACTCTGCTAAGTAGCTCCCTGAATAACTTAAAGTAGTTTGCTCTGAAGTCCAGAGTAGCAACTCTGCTGTCTTTTTTTCTTATAACACTAAAAATTTTAAACTCAACCATTTAATGATCACTGCGGCCAAGACAGCCACATCCCACAGGAGTCCTTCTCTATTCACAAATAGTAAGTCTAAGAGGGCATCTTTCCTATTTGGCTGGCTGACTACTTGTGACAAGAAGTTATTTCCCATATGAAGAGATATGAGGAGATGAGGACGGAGGGAAAGGAAAGTGGGTTTTGTTTGGCTGGTTTTGCTTTGTTTTTTTTTTTTTAAAGCAGGGATATGTCTCTTCCACACATTAAGACCACATGCTTAGTAGACAGCCCAGATTAGGCTCCAGGATTAAAACATCAGGTCTTGTACACAGTAGTTTTATATTTCAGCCCTCAGGCAGGTAGGCAGAGCTTGGAGCTGCCCAGCAGAACAGGGCTGCAAGCAACTGTGACTTACTTATATACAGCCTTATGGACACCCCTTCTCCTTCTGTCTCACCATCAGCCGCTACTGCAAATACTGTGAAATTGTACATCGCTCCAGGGATTAACTCAGTAATTTCGACTTTGGTAACATCGGACGACAGGTTCCTAATAGAGGTATCATTTACAACCTCTATCCTGTACGTGTAGGAGTTGGAAGCAGAGTCATTCACCGCCCATGTTAAGTTGACAGAAGTCACGCCAACATATTCCACCTTGAGATCATGGATTGGGCTGGGCTCTGTGAAAGGCAAGACAACAATCTGTCAACCTGCAAGAACATCTGCTCACAAACATTGACAGAAGAAACACAGGCACACCACTACTTCACTCTCTTCACATCACTCGTCATTTAGAGCCCAGGAGCACCCCAACAACATCACCAGGTGCTCCTGGAGGCTTTTGCATCAATGGGCAGCTAAGAGAGAACTGAAGAAAAGTCATCTTGAGTGGGATTCGTCTCCCTTTGACACTCCAAAGCAGAATCACAGGTCACCACTGTGCCAGCACTCCCAGGGCTTCCCTTGGGAATCTAGAGAGGTGGGCAGGAAAGAGATGAGGATGGAGAGGAAGGTGGGGAAGGAAGATAATTAAAAACAGAACAAAAACAATAGGGCTGTGTTTCTGCTGCACACTAGCATCCCATCGTTTGCATATAGCCCACATCAGGCTCCAGGACTAAAATATCAGGTCTATACGCAATAGTATTGAATTACAATCCTCACATAGGTAGGTAGAGCCCTGAGCTGCACAGCAAAATACAGCCCACCAGAAATAGGGCTGCAAGAAACTGTGACTTACTCGTATACAGCCTTATGGACACCCCTTCTCCTTCTGCCTCACCATCAGCCGTTACTGCAAATACTGTGAAATTATACAATGTCCCAGGGATTAACTCTGTAATTTCGACTTCGGTGACATTGGACATCAGGTTCCTAAGAGAGGTACCATTTACAACCTCTATCCTGTACGTGTAGGAGGAGTTGGAAGCAGAGTCATTCACCGCCCATGTTAAGTTGACAGAAGTCACGCCAACATATTCTGCCTTGAGATCAAGAACTGGCCTGGGGTCTGTGAAAGGCAAGAAAACAAAAATAAATAAAAAAATCTTTTAACCTGCAAGAATATTTGCTGACAAACACATAAAGCACTCTTTTCCCCACCCTACCCAAACAACAGGTCTCTGTAAAACAGTAATCAGCCTGGGAAAATAATCAAGCCATCCTTATATGTCGCAAGGCACACTTGCTAGCTCTGCAATCTACTCTTCCTCTAACTCCTCAAGTTTCACTTCATCTCAAGGAGTAAAACTGTCCAGGTGCAGCAGTGACTACCATCTGCCTCAGCTGTCAACTTCATGTAGGGTGCTGAGAAAGACTGGAAGACACAACCTGCTGTTATTTTTTCCTAAGCTGGCTATCCCAAAGAGAAGAGCCTTTCTAGCTGCAAGAGTCACACAGCTCTCCTCTAGATACCTGATACCCTCTATACTAGGTAGAGTACTTCAGCTATACTCTGTTACGTATGTATTTTAAATCTGTATGTCACAGTATGTTTGAACTGTTGCAGCTGTAACCTAAAAAGCCATAATAAGCAGGGAAGGGAGCCCAAGTCTAACAGTGATAAAACTATTTCAAGGCCATGCAACGATCACAGTGTTAAATCGCACTCCCAGTCAGCTGTGCCGATACATTTCTTTGGCCCATTCTCAACTCCAGTAAAGCAGTTGGATCCATGCCCCTGCATGCTCCTTGCACTCTAGACTGGAGTTCAGGCTTAAAATGCTGACACAGTATAAAAGCACAAATCACCCTGAAGATTCACATCCCAGTCACATTCCAAACTTACGTGTTACATTGTTCTGATTGCCTATTGCGCTGTCAGATAGTGACACTTCCCTGGATGATATTCCACCTCCATAGGTTTTGTTCCCACTTGTAGAGTTTACTGATAAATTATCATTACTACTGGTTCCTGTTTCTACAGTTACATTTTTTGAACTGCAATCCTCAGTGCCTGAAAGAAAAAATACAAAGCAATAAGTATCTTTACAAAACTTCTGGGTTTTCCATTTGCAAAAGTACAGTCATTTATAGATATCATGCACAGACCCACAGTCACTTCTGTTTTCCCAATTTGTTCTCCTACAGAGATTTCACTGCATGTTTCCTGGTTTTACCACTTTTAACTTCTGTCAGATGACTTGATTTAGATTAAGAGATTTCCACATTATTTCGGTCATTCACTGACTCTACTCATGGTTTGGATGAAAGCTACCACGATCTGCTCTTTTTTTCAGTGCAGTTTTGTTTGAAAACAGAACAAACTCGCAGCCACATTCTGTGTGTGTATTTCTCATGTATTATCAGAAGCTAGCTGCTTTACTTAACCTGGCATAGCAATTTTGTCTCTTCCCCTCAGTGTATGAGCAAAAAGGTTCTCATATTCACACAGTGTGTTCCCACAAGTAAGGAAGAAACATGGTACACCTACAGAAAACAACTTTAGGTTGATAGAGCGCAGCTCAAAGTGTGGAATGAGTTGACTGAGGCCCTAAAATTTCAAGGCTAACTCATGCAAGCCTCCTGTTCATTATTAAGGTAGAACTCATCTGCAAGTACTTTTGGAAATTTTTGCCACATGAAAACTCATCATCTTGGCAAGTACAGTAGTTGCTATACTCACTTCAGAATATCCTTAACACATCACTTTGGGTGTCTTTTTTGTTTTGGGGCTTGTTTGTTTTGTATTGCCTTTAAGTATATTTTCCAATCTTCCTAAGTACGTTATATCTGCACTTGTTTTTAACAGAACTCTTTACAAACTGAAAAGCAAAGGGATTACAGTGCACATTTATATCTTGAAATATCCTTAAATGCATTGCAGGAATTACAGTCACTAAAATAAGCGAGTTTAGATTTTTGAATGCTATTTCTAAAAATTCTTTTCAGGAAGTTTTGGGGTTGTTTTTTTTAAATACTTAGTTGATACTGTTCAATCTTCCTTAAAAGAAATAAAGCTAATGGGAGTTATATTTAAAAAAAAAAATAATTGAGTAACAGAATGATACTTACAGGCAATCGTACATCTGACCTGGGAAACAAAAATAAATAATAGAAATTAAAACTTTAAAGCTACTGGAAGCTCAAATAAAATAAGGACTGGTTTAATTAACACATGGGAGGGGGAGAATCAGTTAAAAAAAAAATAATTAAAAAAACTATTGTTGTGCTCCAGACTTTTCAACCTGCAAAAGATACCCCTAAAAATCTACTGACATAAAAATAACACCAAAAGTATACCAAACTATTAGAGAAAAAACCAAACATGCTGGTAAAATGTTAGTTACCACTTTTTTTAACCAAACAGTTTATTTTGTCACAAAAACAGCTTGCATAACATATGCTGATTTTGCACATATAAATTTAAAAACAAAACCTACAGGATCTTAGTAAAAAATAGTTTAGTTAGTACCTTTGACACCATCCCACAAAAAGCAGTAGATGCGAATTAGGTCTTTTTTATTCATAAGATTTTCCTTTTCATCCTATTGCTGTATAAATTTTATTATTACTTCTCACAAAATAATATTTTGCATTTTCTGAAACAAACTCAGTGTAGTCAAAGTTCAAAACACTTAGTAAATATTCTGAAATCTAGTTTATATACGTGTACATATCCATGAAGTATCAGCAGTTGCCATCTAACTGCAACCTGAAACTACTCTGCTAGTAGTACTGACAAGCACACCAGAATTTTGCTTTGAAAATGTTTTTTAGTCTTTCAACTTCATGCTTTTACTTCCGAATAAGCCATTTCCGTTCCTGTTAGCATGCAAACTGGCCTGTAAATTGTTTTCTTCATCTCCCTCCAGGTGGCAGCATAAAATGTTTCTAAAGGAGTGAAACAAAAGCCCCAGACTGAGATTTGCAGGCACTTGAGAGGAAAACTGCCTTCCTGAGAGGCTCGTAAGCCAGCTGACGCCAACCGACTGCAGCAGCCACCTTTGTCACGCAAACTGAAAAGCAAAGGGATTACAGTGCACATTTATATCTTTAAATATCCTTAAATGCATTGCAGGAATTACAGTCACTAAAATAAGCGAGTTTAGATTTTTGAATGCTATTTCTAAAAATTCTTTTCAGGAAGTTTTGGGGTTGTTTTTTTTAAATACTTAGTTGATACTGTTCAATCTTCCTTAAAAGAAATAAAGCTAATGGGAGTTATATTTAAAAAAAAAATAATTGAGTAACAGAATGATACTTACAGGCAATCGTACATCTGACCTGGGAAACAAAAATAAATAATAGAAATTAAAACTTTAAAGCTACTGGAAGCTCAAATAAAATAAGGACTGGTTTAATTAACACATGGGAGGGGGAGAATCAGTTAAAAAAAAAATAATTAAAAAAACTATTGTTGTGCTCCAGACTTTTCAACCTGCAAAAGATACCCCTAAAAATCTACTGACATAAAAATAACACCAAAAGTATACCAAACTATTAGAGAAAAAACCAAACATGCTGGTAAAATGTTAGTTACCACTTTTTTTAACCAAACAGTTTATTTTGTCACAAAAACAGCTTGCATAACATATGCTGATTTTGCACATATAAATTTAAAAACAAAACCTACAGGATCTTAGTAAAAAATAGTTTAGTTAGTACCTTTGACACCATCCCACAAAAAGCAGTAGATGCGAATTAGGTCTTTTTTATTCATAAGATTTTCCTTTTCATCCTATTGCTGTATAAATTTTATTATTACTTCTCACAAAATAATATTTTGCATTTTCTGAAACAAACTCAGTGTAGTCAAAGTTCAAAACACTTAGTAAATATTCTGAAATCTAGTTTATATACGTGTACATATCCATGAAGTATCAGCAGTTGCCATCTAACTGCAACCTGAAACTACTCTGCTAGTAGTACTGACAAGCACACCAGAATTTTGCTTTGAAAATGTTTTTTAGTCTTTCAACTTCATGCTTTTACTTCCGAATAAGCCATTTCCGTTCCTGTTAGCATGCAAACTGGCCTGTAAATTGTTTTCTTCATCTCCCTCCAGGTGGCAGCATAAAATGTTTCTAAAGGAGTGAAACAAAAGCCCCAGACTGAGATTTGCAGGCACTTGAGAGGAAAACTGCCTTCCTGAGAGGCTCGTAAGCCAGCTGACGCCAACCGACTGCAGCAGCCACTTTTGTCACGTAACAAACAGATTACTTCAGCAATTGTATCAGGGATTAAATACAACTATTCACCTTGCAAAGCTACACATGACAAGGCAAAAACCAAGCATGCAGAGATACGCGTCCCAAGAACAGGCAGGTCCCCAGTGTGGTGCTGGAGATCCACAGGTCACAGTGCCTTGTGCCAGGGAAGCTTGCAGGCATGGGAGGTTTCTGCCCATGCACCTCTGGGTCTGTTTTTGGCATCATGGTGGGTGCAGGCAGAGGTAGTCTCCAGCCCCAGTGGCTCTAACATCACCTGCAGAAGGGCTAGTCTTTTGGTTGGACCTTATATTGTGTTGCTCCTAGAAAATCCAGCTTAGCTTTATGCCGGATGGTGCGTTACCCACACAAAGCACCAAGCCTGCTGATTGCAGAGGTTGACACATTTATCTAAAGCACTTAAAATTGTCTCATTTTCTCCCTCCACCCTGTTTTCTTAGACAGTTTCTCAGCTGCTTCTGCAATTCCACGAGCTAACTCAAAATAAGCAGCTATATCACAACAACCCAATGAAAAGCTTGAATCCCAAATCACTCACCCCCCCAGCTCTCATGTTGCTGGTGCCACAAGTAGCTTCATCAGCAGTAGCTCCCTGCATCAAAGGCATGGGCCCAAGTAGACACGTCCTCAAAAAGTAGTCAGAAGATACCATTAAATCTTGTTCTCCGTATGAGAGACTATAAAAAGCACTCTCCACAAAGCTGAGGCAGGCCAGCTGACTAGAAGCAACACTAGAAGCAACCCCCCCAGCTTTACAGTAAGGGGAAATGCAGCAGAAGCAAGCTTCAAGCGGAGAGACACCCTTCCAGCCTGTGATGGTCTCGGTGCCACAGCAAGAAGGGTTTGGGCACATTTCCTAGGCAAAAGAGCACTTGTAAGCATCAAAGAACTAACGCCTGATCTTCTCTAGCACAGCCCTACTGACAACTCAGGACACAAAGGACATTACTTGGGATGCAGATGTCCTACGTACAAGTGTGAGGCTCCTCCTCAACCTTTCTGAATATTTGAGAGCCCAGCCAAACTGCAAGGCTATTCGCAAGTGAGGAAACATTCATCTGCACTCAGGTCAAGAGCCCTTCTGTATTCTTTCACAAAGGAGAGGCCAAGGAAGAAGAGACTACAAATGAAAAAGCCACTCTTAAGGCAGGAAAACACTACCATGCAGCATTCAGAGTAGAAGTGCTAAGCTATGTGGAAACAGCTGCTGAATGATGAGCAAGAGGTGAGATTCCCTGAAAAATCAGGCAATATAAAAGCAAAGCCAAAAAAATGCAGTTTAATAAGAAAGGGAAATTGCAAAAAGAAGAACAAAAACAAAAGAAGAAATGCCACAGGACTAAGTCACTAATTTCTGCAGCCCTACAGATGTAACAGCAAAAGCCTGACATCATTCACAACCTGTCCTTCAGTTACTTTCTCTTCTGTAAAACTGCCTGAAGATGACGGAGTTTCTCATCTCGTTCTCCCTACATTTTGAGTTCAGGGGCACAGCATCCTTCCTGAGCAACAGACATCATACGACTGAGAAACAGGTATGCCACTACCAAGTCCCCTGCACCCCTGCTTCTCACCTCCCCATTTCTTCCCTGTCAGCTAAAACAAGAAGCATGTTGATTCCTGTTTTACCCCCAGCTATAGCCATCTGATCTAATGGCAAATTATTACCAAGCTGCTAGAAACTTGGTTGTACTGTCACGCGTTGGTTTTGTTAATGATGCTCAAACAACAAAAGTTATGCTAAAACTCCTGTCACGTGATGAACAGCTTCCCATCATTTTACTTGCTTTTGTTTATCACACACTTTGGCAATGCTCCCTTCACAATATCCCTCTGACTTTCCAGAACCCTATGTGCAACCCAAATTCAAAAAAAAGCACATCCCATCGGCAGCAGGCAAGCCTCCTTCTGAAACGCAAAACCATGAAAAACAAACGATCCCATTCCCAGGCGTCAGCCTGCCTGACTCAGTCATTCCGTGCTATATTTTTTCCAACACAAGCCATGAACTGAACTGCTCTCCAGCCTTATGTTATTACTTAATGAGATGCTATTTATACAAAACATTTGTTTATTATTTCAGAGGATATTTGTGCTGAACACCTGATTCTCCTTGCATTTGCCATTTCCGCTTTTCTTTTGAATGACATGAATCCATATTATTCATGTATAGAGTTGGGTATTTTTTTTAACCAAAAAAAAAATGGAACTTGGGGTAGGGGTGGAACATCTGTCCCCAAGAAAATACTCAGATCAAGAAAAGACAGCAAAATGCGAAACACTGAACATTTCAACTGTACAACAGGAGAGATGTGTATACACAAACTCATTACTGTCATCAACTGTTACGGCAAATGAATCTTTTCATGTGTCACACAGCCATGCTTCAAGCCTGATCAAAGGCTGTACGTTCCAGAGGAGCTGA